GACAACAGCCAGACTGAAAGAATATCGACTTGATAATGGTTATTTACTTTCCGTAAAGCTTCATCATGTGCAGAATACAGAATTTATTTTCACTATGGCAGAGTGTATTCGGCAATCATCCATGAAGGAAAATCCTTACTAGTTTCTGATGTTTGTAACTGTGTAGTGTGAGTTTGATTTAATATGATCCACCAGGCGATCAGCAGATGCAGTTATCATAAATGGACACACGTTTTTTCCTTCCGTAGTTATTTTAACTTCAACTTCGAAACAAATGCCATCATAAGGATTCTGAACAAGAAGATCGATGTGGGAATCGGCAACGAGCGAAATTTCCATCAAATCCGGCTCAATGTTTTTGTTTGCGCTCGTCTCGGGAAGCTGACAGAGTTTTCATTTTTCAATCGATGTATAACTGCGGTTGAAAGACGGCTGTCTCCAGTTATTGAACTAAAATAATACTGGCGCAGGATGGAAAATGCCGTGAACAAACCCAGGAATATAGTTTGGCGTCCACTCTGGTTCCCGACGACGCATTCGAATCCACTGGCGTGAGTATATTGCTTACAGCAGACGCCGCTCAAATTTCAACCCCACCACAGACTGTCATCCGGGTACTTTGAGAACGCCCTCTATCGAATTTCGTGAGAAAAATATTAACTCGGAAATTAGGAATTGTCTTAACATGCAGTCGCAATGATGATCAGCAGTGTCCAGAAATAACAGAACACGGTATCAATGACATCACCCAAATAAAATGTATTATAGTCCACAAAGACTGGAGCCTACAGATTTGTCCCATTGCATCAAACAATTGCTGTTATATTTATATATAGCTTCCAATCTGTTCAACAAATTCAGTGGTTCAAAGGTTACAACTTCACAATTAGCGTGTATATACAATAAACACAAAGTGCCATAAATCAATGCACTTTGTAACCGTGACTGACGATCATAAGACAAAGCAATGGTGTATGCAAATAAGACGCGTGAGACAAAGCAAT